ATTCATTACATTTTGTCTGTGCAATATATAATCTATTTCTTTCTAAAGGATATTCAACAAAACGTAGATTTTATTTATTAATTAATTGAAAATGATAATACTGTATCGATATACATATTTTAATCTCAATGATATTTCAGTAACTATTCCATTTATAATATTTCGATAAATTTAATTGAAATATTTCATAATAATATTTAATTGAAATAAATAAAAGCATTGAGAGGAAAAGTTTGATAATATTTAAATTTCTAAAACAATTCTTTCATTTTGCGTACCATAAAAAAAAGAAAATAGATTTTTACAGTATCGGAAAATATTTTAAAAGCGTTTACTTTTTTGTTGTTAATTAAGAAATTAATGTCAATTATGAATAATGTATTTAATACATTATTCGTAATTGACATTAATTTCCATTTCCTATTTTCTTCTCATTTATAACATTCCATTATCATCGCATCTCATATATGAATATATGACATCTCTCAAAGCCACATATATATATATATATAAAAGCATAAGATATATATATAACATATAGTATCATAAGAGCAAAAGCATAAGATCTACATCTTAGACATCTCTCAAAGCCATATATATATAAATAAATGAAAGCATAAGAGTAAAGGCATAAGATATATATATGTATACAGCATATAGTAGCATAAAAGTATAAGATATATATCTTATGCTTTTATTATTGAATTATTCGATTAAAAAAAAAACCAATTAATTTTCAATTTCTAATTTTACTTTAACTTAATATCAATCATTTTAAATTTACAAATTACACCTGAAAATTTTTATTAAATTAACAAATATTGCTAGCAAAAAAATGAAATCATATTTTCTTTCGCTTTTTCATTTTACTTTCTTCTGCCATTTATTTAACAATTATTTTTTTAATGATCCTATAACTTAATAAATTAATAATGAGCTGGAAGGATGGTGTTGAAATATTTTGTAAATTTTGCAAATTGATGTTTTCTTTATTTCTACTACTCTTTCTCCAATTGTTCGATTCTTTACACTTATTTTTTCTTCTTTTCTTTTCTCTTTTCTTTTCCCTTTCCCTCTCTCCCTCTCTCTCTCTCTCTCTCTCTCTCTCTCGTAATAAATATTATCATAAAGTTAACACTGAAAGAACAAAACTTTCCTAAGTAATTGTAAAATTTATTGCTTTTACTAACATAGAAAATTTATTATTAATTTTTTTGATATCAGATATCAGATGTTGAAATTATCAGTTATCAGGTGTTGAAAATTTTCAACATCTTTTGTTTCGAAATTATACAATTTGTTGTTTTCATCGATCATTTAGAAAAACAAAAAAAAAAAAAGTATGTTTCATCGTATTAATTCGATTTTCCGATTAAAACAAAATATTTTTCCAACTTTGTTGTAACAAAACTAAAAACCACAAAACAACGTATCAGCAGAAATCAAATTTATTACACTAAAATAAAGTGCGAAATTGTTTCATTGCAATAATTTGATTTCTAATTCTTTTGATATTTTTGTTAACGTTGAAAAATTATAAATATTAATTAAGCTTGAAAGCAAAAAACAAAAGCGAAATTTTTTAATGGAATCATTACGAAGCAATCAAATTTTCAAATTTAAAATAAATGCCTACATTGAATCGATGTTGTAGAAAAATAGCAAAATGTTAATGTGAAAAATAGAAAGGAAAAAAACAACGAATTCAAAAAATTAAATTAATTAAATATTTAATTAGCAAAATTTGCTAATTACTGCTTTTTTTCTAAATTAAAAAAATTTTTTCTAAATTATTTAAGTATTTAAATTAACAAAAATTTGCTAATTATTGCATTAATTAGAGGTTAAATGAAAAAAAAAAAGAAACAAAGAAAAACAAAATTAATTTTCTTAAATGAATAATTAGAAAAGGAATGAAAACAAAAATTATTCTCTTACCTTTTTCTTCCTCTTTTTCAAAATTTATTCTCTCCATGCATTTTTTTGAAAAAGAATTTAAAAAGTGGCGCTTTCGTTAATTTTTCATTTTATCCATTCACATCTGTCCTTTTAATGAGTTTCATTTGACATGCTACCTGGTACAATCGACCTTCAATTATCTGCCAACATTATAAAACATATTTATTATCATTGTTGTCATCTAAACAACATTCTGATAATGAACATTCCCTCAATCTTATTAATTCATTTCAATGTTTTTATATCATTATTTTTTTTGTATAATAAATTTTTATTTTAAGATAATAATAATTATTTGATTAACTTTATCAATTTCTTATCAATTCATTTCAATATTTCATATGATTATTTTCTGCATATTAAATTTTATTCTTAGATGATAATTATCACTTGCTTAACTTTATTAAATCATTTCAACATTTCATATGATTCATTTTTGCATATTAAATTTTTTATTATTAGATGATAATCATTTGCTTAACTTTATCAATTCATTTCATTATTTCATATGATTCATTTTTTCATATTAAATTTTATTAGATGATAATAATCATTTGCTTAACTTTATCAATTCATTTCAATATTTCATATGATCTATTTTTGCATATTAAATTTTATTATCACTTGCTTAACTTTATCAACTCATTTCAATATTTCATATGATTTATTTTTTGCATATTAATTTTGTTATTAGATAAATTTAATCTTCTTCCTATATTTCAAACAACAGAATATATATCGCTGTTTAAATTTGATAACTCTTATCATTCGAATTATTTTATTCATTTAAATGTATAATTCGTAATCTTTTCTTTCCTCCTTAATAATTGTTAATTTATTTTTTTTGAAATTTTTATATTTCACTTAATTAAATATATTCAGCTATTAATGATTTTACTAAATAATATTCTGTATTGTTTAATAACGCGAAGCAAAATGATAATGTTATCAAATCAGTTCATCTGTTACCATTTTTCTCATCGTTAATTTATTTCATCTCAATAAATTACTTTCTATTCTATTTTTTTACAACACAAACGAATGGTATTCAGATAATATTTCAAATTTTAAATTGAAAATATAAATTAATAATGTATGATAAGAAAATAAATAAGTGTTAATTAATAGTGTAAATAAGACAAATAAACAGAAATGAATGATAAAAAAATTTGAAATGATTAATTCGATTTAATTATTATTTATCAAATAATAATATTTCTTTATCATTTATCAAATAATATTTCTTTTTTGAATCAATAATTTACATTTTTTTTTTTAATTAAATAAATTAATCGAAAAGTAAAACAATTCTATGGAATTGTTTTAGTTATGAATTGGAATATTAAATTAGAATTGGATATTAAATTTGGAAGAGATAATGAAATTTAAATTGTTGAATGAGAGAGAGAGAGAGAGAGAGGATGAATGGAATGTAAACATGTAAATAAAATGATGAGATGGTATATATAATTCTGCCGAAATTATGAGATATCTTTAAACTGCTATTGGAAATGGGTCATTGGAGGAACGAAAGAAAAGAATCTGATACATGCATTTTAATCTTATTTTTCAATCTATTAGAATTTAGAATACATAAATTAAAATAATTAAAATGCCAAATTACACAACCTGAAATAATTAAAATGCTAAGACAGAAACGAAAATAATTACAATTCGCTTTCTTTTATGTATCCCAATGAATGATGGTTAAAAAGTAGAAATGATTTGTTGCAAATTCTCGAAACCTAATATCAAAATTCATTATCTAATTTGAAATTTGCCGAGATTAAACTAATTAATTAAAAGATTGGAATTCACCTAAATTAATATTAAACATCGATTTAGATGAGCAAAAAGAAAATGATAGGATTAATTACGATGATACAAATACTATTAAATTTACCTCTTAATTATTTTTTAGTCAATATTTAATGCAAATTGAATATAAGAAAAAGATACGATCGATTTCGAATTATACGATTACTATTATTATATTTACTTCTAAATTATTCTTTAATCAATATTTTATAAAAATTGAATAAAAGAAAATGATACGATCGATTTCGATTATACGATTATTATTACATTTATCTCGAAACTTTTATTCAATCAATATTTTATAAAAAATTAGTTTCTTTCTTGTTTTCCTTCTTTTTTTATCATAATTATTATTTACCTGATTTTACCGGTTATTTCTTACTTTGTTTTTCAAAAATCAAAAAATGGAAAATAATATCATTAAATGTAATCAATCAAATTCTTTTTCAACTTTGTCGTAAAATATGATTTTGTGTTGAAAAACTTCATTAAAGAAATGAAAAACGTAAAATTTCTCTCGAAGGAAAATGATAATCGTTCAATTTGTTTTTGTTACTTTTTAAATTTTTGAATTTTAATAATTGATTATTGTTTCAGTTAAATTAATTACCAAATAAATTCATTAAAAAAGTATTTAAGTAAAAAATTTCCTTTGCTAATTTTTCTATTAAATAATATTGTTCATTTTGCTTTCCATTTTTCTGCAAAATACAAGAAGATTATTTGTGTTCAGTATCATTTAATGTATTGTAATAAGATGAAGGTCAAATAATGATGATAAAATTGATTATTTATTTATCACTAAGTGTTTGGCTATATAGTATTATTAAAGTAATAAAAATATAATGTTTCTAAAAATAATTAAATTATCATTTAAAATTAGTTATACCATTAATCTATATAATTATATATAATTTAATTATAGCTATTGTAATAAGATGAAGGTCAAATAATGATGATAAAATTGATTATTTATTTATCACTAAGTGTTTGGCTATATGGAATTATTTAAATAAGAAATACAACATTTCTAAAAATAAATTATTTAAAATTAGTTGCACCATTAATCTATATAATTATATTTAAATTATTATTTAAAATTAGTTATACCATTAATCTATATAATTATATATAATTCAATTATATCATTGCAAAAAAATTACTTTTAAAACTAGCAAAAAAATTATTGAAATTAAAATTTTTATTTTTAATAAAGATTTTAGATGGATTTTTTAATAAATGTTATCATCACATTAGCAGCAACTATTACTTTTCTAATTGCATTCATTATCGTTTTCTCCACTTTTTATTTCCCACATCCATCTGATATTTGTGATCGACGGAAATTGATTTTTACGGATTCATTGTTACGTTTAAGCAATGAATATTTGGTAAGTATTTCTTCTGTTCATTTTTCTTTCTAAATTTCATTTCCTTGTTTTTTTGAAATATAATTAAATTTTTAAAATTATATATTTTTAAGAGATTTAAATGTTATTTGATAAGAAAGTGAGAAACATCAGATATCTTCATTTGTCTCCTTCAATCGTATAAATAAATGTTAACTATGTGTTGTGGGTGTGTGGGTGTTTGTAAAAATCACTAAAAATATATTGTCACATTTATCAAAAATATGAATATTAATTTTGCACACATTTATTTACTTAAAAATCTATTAGTAAATGAGATTTGATCAATTATAATCATTTATCATTGATAATGAAAGAATACATCGGAAAGAATATATATATATCACTATATCAGAAATTTTATTAAACAATATCACAAATAATCGGAGTTGACTTTCCATATATATATCGATTAATAATCGGAATTATCTTTTCTTGATATATCGATATATACTTATATGTAGTAATATATAAATATAATTTCTGATACACATATATATATCAGAATTCTTATTAACCGATATATCGATATGTTAGAAATTTTATTTAATACTATCACAAATATTGGTGAATTTTAATTATTCAAATTTCATTTAATTACAGGGTGAAATAATATATATTTTATTTGGTCAACGATATCGAAATATCTTGACACGTATAATTTTTGCCGTTCCCCGTTTATTTTACTATTTTTCATCTAATTCGTTAATTATTCGAAATGAAATTATTGCTAATATCAGAGTTCGTGTTTACTATCCCAGAAAACGGCGTAGTAATGCTATGATATTATATTTACACGGTGGAGGTTGGACAACATTAAAACCTGGTAATTTATGTGTGTTACTATAATTGTTTATTACAATAAAGATTATAATTATTGTAATTATTAGTGGTAGTAATTTATATGATATAATATTAAATCAATGTTAATAATTTTTATCTTATCTCTATAAAAAAGTAAAAAGTACACGAAAAATTTTGAAAGTATTAAAATTTGAATTTGTAAATTATAAGTGAAAATAATATTACTTTCAGTTGATTATGATGAATTAATACTTTATTTTATAAAACGTCTTGAGATGCTTATCATTGCGGTTGATTATCGTCGATCACCGGAATATCATTATCCAATACCACTTGATGATTGTGATGCAGTCTATCGAAAGCTTGTTACTATCGATTATAAAAGATATGGTATCGATCCGACGCTAATTTTTGTGATGGGTGATAGCGCTGGTGGCAATTTAGCTGCAGTTTTAGCGCAAAGGCAATTAAGGGCAAATTTTCAGAAACCAAAAGTAAGAAATCATTATTGAATTACTTTAATATAAGTCTGATAATTACTGAAAGTATTAAATGTGAGAGATAAATTTGAGCTTGAAGATAGCACCAATTTCATTTTAATACTCTGTTTAAATATTGTTTAAGTATTCAACAATTTGTTCAATTCTCAAATAACGTATCATTAAAATTTCCAGTTCGTATTTTACAGTACTGAAAATTTCATTTTAATTTAATCAGTTTTGTTTTTGCAACGTTCAGAACAAATGCTATCACCTTTATCGGAAACAAACATTAACCCAATTGCTTTCATTTAGAATTTTACTTTGTAAAATTTCTACGATCGAATAAAATTATTGTTTCAGTCACAAATTTTGATTTATCCAGCAATACATCCATTTGATTTTCAATCACCATCTTATCAACAACATCGTAAATTCTTTCCTGGTTGCGCAATGCTTCATCCACGAATGATGGCTCAATGGTACTCAAATTATTTAGGTATACCGGTTACTCGTAAGAATATACAAAAATTTCTTCATAATCAACATATTCGAAGGTATGTATAATAAATACAAAGAATTTTAGTAATACTTATAATTTGAATGATTTATTATTATTTGAAAAGAAAAAATTTTAAATATATTACAAATTGTATTTAATTAATACCTGTAATTAAGTTGTCATAAAAGAAATCTAATTTATAGAGAAGGAAAGCAAATTCATAAATTACAATTAATTATTGGACATAATTTATTACCAATTGGTTTTGTTGATAAGACAGATAAGAAATTTGAAGTGGAATCAGTGGATGATAATGTAAGTTTATATAATCCTTTAATAATTTTACATTTCAAATATTTTCTTTTAATGAATTATCGCTACTTTAAAATTAATTATAACATTTCTTTTTCCAATTATCAAACAAATGCAAACAAATCCAATTAATGAAATACAAAAATTAAAAATAAGATAAATGATATGATCAGAATTGATAAATTATTTATGCGTTTGTATATTTCCTTTTATCTTTTGAATAGACTATTTTAATTATTTATTATTGACTATTTTATTTATTATTGACTATTTGAATTACTTATTATTGACTATTTGAATTGACTATTTTAATTATTAATTTTAATTATTTATTTTTGATTGTTTTAATTATTTATTTTAAGTAAATTATTAATTTATTAAGTTAATTTTAACTAAAATAACAACGAAATAAAAATTTCACAAGTAATAATACTAATAATTTAAAATAAAATATAATATATTTTGATTGTGAAAATTTATTGAAAATTTGAATTCTAATTTTACCTTTATTTAATTATAAAATAATTCAAAAATTTGGTTAATCATATTGTTATAGTTATACGATATATTTTCATTTCTTATTTGCTTATCTTTTTTTTATTATGCAAAATTAATTTCAGCTATGTGATATGTTAGCAAAATATGCCTATGATCCTGATCTTGCACCTATTATGGGTAAAAATTTAGAAGGCCTTAGTGATGCAATGATAATCACAGCAGGATATGATATACTTCGTGATGAGGGAGCATTATATGTGCGATTATTAAAATCATACAATGTTTCAGTATGTTGGAAACATTATCATCGCTCATATCATGGCTGCTTAAATATGCCTTTTAGTAAACATAAAATGGAAGTTTTAAATGATATTATAAAATTTATCGATTTACAATTGAATGGAAAATCATAAAAAGAAAATGAATTAAAATAAAGATAATTAAGGAATACAAATGAAAAATTAATTAAAAAAAATTAATTAAAATAAAGATAATTATGGAATACAGATATTTCTTTTGTTTTTGTCTTTTTGCATTTTTTTTTGATTTTTTGAAACTTCTAAAAATTGTCATATTTTTGTTTTTACTTTTTACATCTCTTAATTAATTTCAGGTCTTTTTTCATTGTCTTTCTTGTCCCATTTTTTAATTACAATTTTTTTGATGTAATTATTTTAAAAAACAAAATAATTATCATTACTCTACCAACGTGATTCAAATTTTCGTTTTTTATGCTATTAAAATTTAGTTAAAATATTTAAGTGATAAAATTTCTTTAAATTTAATTTAAAACAATTAAATGATAATTAGGTTGCCGTTTTTTTTTTTTTTTGATAATATCATTTAATCTCACATTTTACTTCATAAATTCTTTCAATTAACAAATACGATATGTGTAAATGATCTAAATGATTTTCGCATTGTAATTAATTTTATCCTAATTGTCGGTAAGAAATTGTAATTCGGGTAATTTGCATTTATTCATTTGTGTTTTATAAAATAGGAATAAAAATTTTTTGCATTAATTAAAAACTGAAATAATTATCAAATAGCAAAATGGAAAAGAATAGAAATCGACGGATAAGAAGTGATAAATGTGGAAAAGGAAATATTTCAATTTTAATTTAATAATTATTTCAGTTTAATTTTAGAAATGAGAAAATACTGTAATTTCAGTTTAACAACGAGGGAAATAATTTTATGGTATTTTATTATTTTCGCAAAATATTATTTATAAATTATTGCTAACAATAAATTGCATCATTCATTTAATTATTCGATCACAATATTTACTAAAAAATTTATTTTGAATAAACAAGAAATTTACATATCATAATTTAAAATAAATTAATTTAAACGATGAATGGTTATTTGTATATTTGTTATAAAACTGCACGGTATATTTTTATAATGTAGCATGGAAAGTGGCAATATAATGATAGGTTAGTGGTTTACTTATTTTAGAAGATAATAATTTTGTTATCTTATCATATTATCATGATCATTTACTTTTCGATTATTAAATTACTTGCTTATTTCAATGTGATAATAGTGATGATGTATGGTAACAGTGATTGGTTGGATTAACAATTTTAACGTGTAATTGTTTATTTTATTAATGTGATATAATAAAATTTTATTGGCTTATTAATTGAGCAATAACTAATTAAATTTATTTTATTTCATTATTAATAATTTAAACCTAAGAAGAGTAAAAACAAAAGATTTAATATTCTAAAAATTTTGAAAGCAAAAAATAAAAATAATAATTCTAAAAAATAAAAATATGTTTAAAAAATTAAAACTAAAAAAGTAAATGTGATAAATTGATAACTAAATTGATAACTTTGATAAAATTGGTAACTTCCATTCTACTTTCGTAGTTTAATCTTTCATAGTTAAATCCATTTCTCTTTCATACTTTAATTAATCCATTTCTCTTTCATAGTTTAATCTTTCATAGTTAAATCCATTTCTCTTCCATACTTTAATTAATCCATTTCTCTTTCATAGTTTTATCCACAAAAGATTTTGATTTCGAAAATTTTGATAACTGAATTATTTTTTTCGTCGATTGAACCTTTATAAAACTTCAATATTTTTCGATAAGAATTTACTTCGTTATCATTGTGTTGGTTCATATCAACGATAATCATTTGGATTTGTAAAAGTGGTAAACGTCGAAGAGAGCATTTAGAATCTCTTTCACATCGAAGACAAATGGCTAAATTGGAACGATTACGACGATTACGTGATGAAGAAGGCTTGAATTTTACATATTATTTTTTTTCTTGCAAATTTTCTGCATTGCAAGAAAAAGCTGTCAATATCAATAATACAATTTTAATTGATTATCAAATTAATTAATTTGGAACTGAAAAGATAGCAATAAACAAATTGAATGCTATAAAAATGTGATAGGAATTGTTGTCTCATTCTATTATCAATGTTATTGATCAATTGAACAATGATAATTCAGAATTTATCAATGTATCTATTCTATTTCTATTTTTTTTATAACAATGCTAGAATTGTAATATGGTAATTATTAAGTGATAAGATATGTTATAAATGATATTTATTAATTATATTAATTTAAAATATTCATTATCATTCCTTTAACAGAATCTCAATGAAACAATTTTGTTTTTGTTTCTTTCTTTCATTTTGCGATATTTACGATTCTTTTTTCACTCCTAAACTTTCCTCTAAATTTCACGAATAAAATGTAAATTAGCAAGGAAAGTTTATCATACAGAATAAACACTTATATGCATGTATTAATTACAGGATTTATATATTCGGAAAATTTTTTCAGGATTAGATCCTGGAAGAGGAGAAGAGTAAGTGAAGATTATTCTAATATTTTTATTTCTGATAAAACAATATGCTAATTGAAGTATATGCAACATTTTTGCTTTATTAAAATAGAGTAAAAAAAAGACTAAAAAAAACTAAGAGATTCAAAATTGATATCAATTCAATCAATCTATCAATTCAATATTGATAAATATAAGTGTTGAAAATATTTTAAATTTTATTTATTAAAAAGAGCAAGATTGAAAAATGTTGTATCATCTATGGTCCTTTTAGGCCCTAAAATTTAAGGTATTAAATTACATTTTATGCCTTAACAAAGTTTAATTCATGTTTTTGTATTATTAATGAATGTATGAAAAATTGATTATCTTTTAAAATAACATCGTTTATTTGTTTGTTTTTTCCATTTCAAGATTTAATGAATTATATGCTAAGGAGCGAAAAGAAAGAAGCGAAAGAGAGGAATCACGTGGAAAACGAGTAAGACGTCACGTCACATACGTGTCAAATAGCTATATAATTTCAAATATAAGCTCAATTAAAGAATATATCAAACTTAATAAATTTATTGAAGACGTGAAAAATTTTCTTTTTTTTGCAGCGTAAAAGACGTTATAAGCAAGAATTAAAAGATGTGCAACGTGTAGATGTTGAAAGTATTCGTGATGTGCTACGTAAACGATTAAAAGGCGAAAAAATTGACGATCATTATCAGCGATACGACGATAAAGCTGATCTTCGAAGTGATAAGAGTGATAATGAACGTAGAATTCATGATTACAAAAATCGTAGCAGTAAACAATTGCAGGTCTGCTTTATTTCATCCATTAAACAAATATAAATTCGTTAAACAAAAAGGAAGAAATTGAATTCTTTGTTCGTATTGATATTAGTTATGATAAAATTGATAATAGTTTGTGTTGAAATGATTGATGGAAAATTTTGCAAATAATTAATTTGAATTGACAAATTTTACAGGTAATGAAAAATGAAGGAAAAAAGATGAGTCCATTCCGAGCTAAATTGCATGAACTTTCTATGAGTCCTCGAACAAGAGGAAGGAAAGAATTGGGTAGGGAAAAATGTTGAAGTAGAAAAGAATTCATCCATTCAAAGACTGAAATTAATTAATCATTTTAATTTTAATAGAATTAAAATTTGGAGTAAAAATATTACTTCAGTATTTCGGTATTTACTTAACTAAGCCTAAATATTGTATACAAAAGTAGGATGAATTTAATGGCAGAAAAAAATGAATAATTTAATAATTATACGAATTAAATAAATAAATCGATAAATGAAATGGCAATTACAAATGAATTAATAAGTCAATTAAGTTGCAAATGTTTTAATAATCTTTAATTGTATTGAATTTTTATTAATTTAAGCCTGTTAAATTAAAATATTCAAGTCATTTACAAATTGTTTTAGAAAGTTTACGTGCGGAATCAACTCAGGAAATATCATCAGGTAAAAATTTTAAATTTCAATAATTTAATTGAAATATTGTTTTTACATTAAATTAACCAATTAACAGATTAATTGCTATTAATAGCAATAATTTATTATATATCCTTAACAAGAAAAAATTCAAATTTTTCAGAAGACAAAGGAAATTTAAGAAATCTCAACAAAACATTTAAGACTTCCCGCAGGTTATTTTACTTAATTACTCGAAATATCATTTACTTATTGTAAATCAACAAGTTCTTATGAAAATTAGATAAATTATTATGATGAAAATAATTTGCAATTAATATCTGTTGATTATAATTACTCTAATTAAGTTTAATATTTTTTTTAAGAAAGATGATATTCGTTTCATTTCAATTTATTTCATAATTTGGAAAATAATCTTTCCCAGATTATCATTATCAGTGAATATATCACAGAAAAAAATGATATATCATAATTTATACTAACTAATAAAATATTCTAACATGAAAAATCATTATTTTATGATAATACCATAATGATTTCGAGATGATAACTTTCCGAGAAGTTTTATTATCTATTACTCGAAAATACTCTCTTCGTTATCTAATAAAACTTCCTTAAAAGATTGACTTCAATGCTGTCACTATAAAATCAATACTATCGCTATAAAATCAGTACTATCATTATTAGAAATATTAATCTGTTGATATTATCATGAAAAGAAATTATTAAGTTGCATCCCTGGGAAAAATTACTAATTTGATAAGATTAACATCCGAAAAATTGATAACTTAATTTAGGAGCAAACCATTATTAGATGAAAGATCAAAAAGAAGTACAAAGGTAAATTTCTATTTCTTAATTTTTATACATCTAAAATGATAATATATGTTATGCAATTAAAAAGTTTGTTTTAATAATATAGACAATGAAAGGTAGCCGAACTTCGTGGCTATTTAAATCACCCAAAGAACGTCAGAAAGAATTGATTCAGCGACAATTAGAATTACGTCGAAGTGAGTTTAATTTCTTAGAGGATTTTAATAATCTTATTTATTTGATAAGTTCCTAATTGTTTTATTTGATAAAACTATCCCTTATGTGTATATAAGNTCAGAAAGAATTGATTCAGCGACAATTAGAATTACGTCGAAGTGAGTTTAATTTCTTAGAGGATTTTAATAATCTTATTTATTTGATAAGTTCCTAATTGTTTTATTTGATAAAACTATCCCTTATGTGTATATAAGTTCAGAGGTACGATCACAAGAAATATTATCCAAACGACAGAAACTAATCAGCGATCGCAAAATTGCAGCAGATAGATTGGTGAAATCTTCTAATAGGTTACTATCGGAGCTTTCATTAATTTTTATTTCAACAAAATTATTAGAAATTTATCAATTTAACAAAGGCAAATTGATAAGTTTAGGCTTACCTAGACTTAATTATCATATCAAATGATCAGCAAATAATCAAATATCAGTTACTTTATTATGATGATAAAAGTATCAAAGAATAATATTCTATACTCAAATAAAATTATAATAGATCGAAGGAAAGTTTGTCAACATCTCAATTGAATGATATCTCAACAGCTCGATTAAATGATATTTCGACAGCTCAAACTCGTAGTTCCTCAAAGGGAATTCGAAAAAACCGGAAAAGACATCAAACAGCACGGAATATTGTTGAAGAAGATTTAAAGNCATCTCAATTGAATGATATCTCAACAGCTCGATTAAATGATATTTCGACAGCTCAAACTCGTAGTTCCTCAAAGGGAATTCGAAAAAACCGGAAAAGACATCAAACAGCACGGAATATTGTTGAAGAGGATTTAAAGCAACGCTTGAAACAAATGGTTAACGAGTTTTTGCTTTTTCAGTAAATTATAAGCTTAGTTTTACAAATAATTAAAACAGGTTAAATATTCGAATAACTTTAACAACTAATGTTATCATCCAAACAGGTTAAATATTCGAATAACTTCAAGAATTAATATATCATATTCATGTTATTGGATGATATTCTTTCAACGCTATTTTACATTTATCGTTGTAATAAATCAATTAGCAATATAATTAGAATAATTATTTAAAATGAAATTATTTTTATCACTGTCAAATTAAAAATTATTAAATTGCAGGATTTCAAACTAAAGCCTGCAAAAATTCCAAAAACAAAAGCAAGATCTGAAAGGTCTACAACTTCACATAGCAGGTATTTGCTATAATGTATTTATAGAGAATATGATTGAACAGATAAAAAGGATAAATTTTGGTTACGTGACCTTTTGTGACACACATATATATAAAGATGTGACCCTGCAAGAGTGTATACAGTGAAATGGCTTTATTTTTTGAAAAATCGAAAAGTGTGATGAATTTCAGATCAAGCGATACAGGAACGGTGACTAGCAATAGCGATGAATCAGTAAAAAATTCAAAACGTTATCAAAGATCTGATCGAAGGATGCGAGATCAAAAATCAGACAAGCAAATTTATGCAAATAAACTGAAATATTCCGGTAAAAGTAGCCATCTGCTATCACGGAAAAAACGAAAAATGAATGTTATGAAGAAACCTTATCATTCCAAATCACAAAAGAAGATAAGCAACAACTTAGTTACACCTACTAACAGCACTTCTGATACTATTAACAGTCAGAAGCACTCAATCAAAAAATCATCAGAATCAAAAAAAGGAGATTCAGAATCTCAATTCAGAGATTCAGTAACTGAGAAAATCAGACTAAAAGATAAGAAAATGATAAATAATAGAAGAAAAAGAAGGAAAGAGAAACTGAGCAAAATGGATAGTTTGCAAAAATCGAAGAGTAAAAATCATGAAAATTTGAAGAAAGCGTTAAATCATCGATCGAAAAATAAAATTCAAAATCATCGATCGAAAAATAAAATTCAAAATGGGAAGGGAATATTTTCTGACAGTAAAGAAAAGGCAACCAAACAGCTGTCAGGACAAAAAAAATTAAATAAGCATTCTTCAAATATTAGAAAAACTAGCAAAGTAAAACGAAATTTGAATAAAGGATCAAATCAACAATCATGCAAAATATTTCCATCACCACCAATATCAACAACATCATCGTCAAAAAGCATGAAATTGAAGAAAGATCAATTTGATGATAAAAATTCTACAAGTGATCAACGAACTATAAAAACTGCAAAATCGTCTAGAAGTCATACTACTCATACTAATTCTAACAAA